CAGCCATCGACCTTTTCAGACCGTTTAAAATAAGAGACCAGGTAAAGAAGTGAACAATCGGAAAGTGTTATGGGGTATTGTTCAACTGTATGAGCACAAGAGCAGTTCATATTGACTTGGTAGACAATTACAGTACAGAGGCATTTCTACTTGCGCTGAGACGGTTTACATCTCTCAGAGGATATCCTGCAAAGCTATACTCTGATAACGGTCCGCAGTTGGTAGCAGCTAGTGAAGAACTCCAGAATATGACGAAGAAATGGAACTTAAAAGAACTCGAAACATTTGGAGTGAACGAAGGATTAAAGTGGGAATTCACATCCGCAGACGCACCATGGCAGAACGGAATATCAGAAGCCCTCATAAAATCGATAAAGCGAGCTATTACTACAGCGATCGGACAGAGCGTTATGACATTTCCAGAACTTCAGACAGTCCTTTACGAAGTATCTAATTTAGTCAACGAGAGGCCAATCGGTCGTCATCCAACTTCACCTGAAGACGGAGCATATCTCTGCCCGAATGACATCTTGTTAGGACGTTCTTCAACAAAGGTTCCTAACGGGCCATTTAATGAAAGCGCAGACCCCAGAAAGCGCTTTTACTTCATACAAAACGTTGTTGACGCATTCTGGAGCAGATGGACACGAGACTATTTCCCAAGCTTGCTTGTACGCCAGAAATGGCATACTTGTAAACGTGATGTCATGGTCGGCGATATCGTGTTAATTCAAGACAGTAACCAGATAAGGGGGAAATGGAAGCTCGGACGCGTCATAGCAGCTAACCCCGGAAAAGATGGCAAGATTAGAAAAGTTACAATTCAGTACAAGAATCCAGCGCCGAATGAAAAAGTTGGTATATACAAGGGTCGAGGATATTCAACAATCGAGCGACCTGTACAGCGTTTAATCGTACTGGTTCCTTTCCACGATGATGAAGATTCAAAGGACATTAAATGAAACTAACTTACGAAATGTAAATTAAGAATTAGGTCAATACCTTCGGGAGGCGTGGAGTGTTTCGGCCGCGACGAAAATTAGATACGTCATAGCTACTTAATTAGGTTAATCACCGTTAATAACATTAGTACGGCAAGCTTCCTTCCGAAGTCGACATCTGAGGCCATCAGGTATGTAAAATCTGTGGTTCGTTTTCTTTGAACTTTGTTCATATAACCTGATAAACTGTTTGTAATCATAGGTTTCGAAAGACTCATCAATAAACAACAGAAAGTCCTTTGAAACGTGGCTATTTTATACCGTTAACGCTTCGGTCGAAGAAACATTGATAACCTCTTTGGCTTCGCCAGTTTTCAAGTTCAGAAAAATATGCTTGAACAATGTTGATGTAACAATTGTTTGATTAAGGTAGATCCTTTCAAACTTTTACGAGGATCATTCGCTTTGGCTTTGACGCGAGGGAATTGTGGTCAAAATTAATGCGAAACGATGCAACGAATGTTTACAACAGAAAAAGAAAAAAAAATCTCACTTCTTGTAACTTAAACAAGTGCCGCACACTGTAGAGTTGATGCCGCCTTTTACAGTTACATAGCACTGTTATTTTTGCTCTCACTTTTTTTTCCTTCTTCTTCTTATTAAAGCTTTCTGTGCCTTACGAAAGTTCAAAAGTTTGCAAAAAAACTGAGGGAATACGTATCACAACGAAAACATGTGCGTAATTGTCCACCACACCAACAAAAAGCTGTAATCCCATGGGTGAACTCTAGATGAGGGCTTCACTTGTATGTGTAATTCCTTTTGCGGTGGAGAAAAAAAATCCCAAATCATTTTATTAAGAGCCAAATTTCAAGTTACTGGAAAAAAAATTTAACAAGACATGGATCTCCTTCAAGTTAGTAATCTTGCTAACGGTCCGACTATCGAACTGATCCAGTGGCTACAACTTGAATATCTGATCGCAAACCCGCTGAGATGCTTACCGTGCAACCAGCCCATGGAACTGAATGAACGCAATTACGACCATGTTGATGGCTACATTTGGTACGCACCTCTTGTGTTTGTTTTAACTTGTGAACTGGACCAGTCTACACAATTAATGCTAAAGACCGTTAGGTTGTAAATTTCAAACATTTTCCAAATTCAATCGTACGCGGCTCTACCCACACAGTAGCGTTGAGTCCGCCTATCTCTAGTTCTGAGGCATCGTAAAATGGAGAAATATGAAGTCATAAAGCAAGTGTACAGTGAAAAATTCCAGGTCGTTACTATGAGAAACAGCAGATTGTTGAATTCGTCAGAATGAACGGCTTAAGTAGTTGTGACAACACTCTCTCTTGCTTACACGCCTTTCTTGCTTCTATTTCTTTCTTTAGGCGTTGTGCAACTTGTAGACGGAAAAGATCTCTACGCACTGCAAGTTTTTTTAGAGAGTTTCGCAGAATTCCTCTTGGAAAACTTGTCGTCCTTATGTAACTTTGGAGCCATCGTAAACTGCACTCTACGGTTGCGAGGATCCTGTCTTTGACCAGAAACACCGTTGGAAATGTATACGCTGTCATGACGCCTTATTGCGGCAGAGATCTCAAAGATTAACCAGTTACTCCGTTTGGCGGACGCGTTTTCGTTGTTAAGAGCAACAAAGCCAGCTCAGACACAAGTCCAAGGTACGTGTTTTGTTTTCGATGAATACAGAAATACACCCCTAGTAGAAAATTTAAACAATGTTAATGAAGCTCAATAACTTTGTTAGGGGCTAGATTGTCCAGGAAACTGTAGCTATAACAAATTAAGTAACTTAAAGGTGGGGTAAGGTAACACCTTTATCTGAAAAGGGTAAACACATGACAGTTATAATAAAACCGATAAACTTGTGACCCTCTATAAAACACAAAATCAAAATTAATATTAAAATAATTCTTCAATTCTTCATCGTCATTATAGAAAGATAAAAATTATTAATAGACAACATTTATGAAGGAAGCAAAAATGGTGTTTAAAACTATCTAGACTCTTATTTAGCCAATTAGAAATCCTAACTATTTAAAATAGTTATTTTGAAAAAATAACAAGTTATACATGCCTCGATACAAAATAGAATCCAGTTAATAAGTATGAGTAATTGTAAGAGACGGACCATTATTTTTCTGGAGGGGGTGTATGAGAAATGTTCTTCCGCAAACACTTTTTTTAAAACATATATGTCTCCGCAAACATTTTTTTTTAAACATATACGTCTCCGCTCCGCAAACAATTTTTTCCATTTTTTAACTGCCACAGTAGAATCTCATTTCTTCAAGACATATTAAGCTATTTTCAGATTTGTTATTTGCTTGATACAGAGTGACTACTTTTTAGTGCCCAAAGTGTGTTAATTTTTATACTAATGCCTCAATTTGTTACCTTGTTTTTCATTTCAGTTTTAGTAGAAATATTTTTTAATATCTTACCTGACTTCTCTCCAAACATTTTTTTTAACCCTATCACGTTTACAAACAATTTATTTTCTCTTTTCAGACCCTGAAAACAATTTTTTTTAAACATTTTTCATACCTGCCCTTCAGAAAAATAATGGTCCGTATGCTGGTATAGAATAACTGCTCAAAATTACAAAGCTGCGTTGCTGAAGAAGAAAGAAATGAATAAAAAGTTTCTTCACATTCTACATATTTTACCTTTCATAAAATGATCTTTGAGAAGGAGAAAAGCAACGGCAGAAAAAAGACAGCTCAAAAGTTTTACCTTTTCATCTTAATCATTTGATATGAAAAAAAAAGCCTGGTTTTGTGGAGTCTAGTGGTAGTGTTTTAGAGCTGGAAACAAATGCTGTTCCAGAAAGTTTTACCAACGGTTTTTGTACGATAGTTTATAAAAGAAATATAGCCCTTTCTGGCTTCCTGGTATGTCGGCTGATAAAGTCCTTGGCTGGGTATTGTCCTCAAAATTGTCACATTTGCCCTTGAAGCTTCGCTTTCGGTCGAATTTTCATTTTTCGAACACTCTTTCAGCCAAGGACATTGTCAGTCCACATACCCGTGGCCTGATGGGATTTATTCACTAAATATGTAAATATACAAATGTATGTATCTGACTCTTTTTCCAGTATCAAAGAGGGCGTCATGCAGGTAACGGACCTTGTTGGGTATTTGGCGTTATATCCACTGAGCACATACCCTGCAGGGGATATTTTCAAGTAGTGCAATGAAGAGATAAGGCAACTCTGTGTCAAATCCTACAGAGAGTACTCCTTCCTGGCTCCGAGGTCCACACTGACGATTGGGCCGCGTACAGAAACTTGCATCGACACGTTCCCAACACAACGGTGTATTCGCCTTTGTCACGGTATCGCCATCTTGAAAATGACGTAATGCTTTTTGGCATGAAAACGAGGTCACGCGTGGTTCTTGACACACTGAACACTCGAGCGATCATGCGGAACAAAGATCACTGTTGTGTTCCTAAGTGCAATAACAATAGATCAAAAGTGCAGTCTAATATAACCTTTCATCAATTCCCGAAAGACAAAGACTTAAGAAGACAGTGGATTATAAAAATTAAGCGTGATGTCGGCCGGTCCTTCAAGGTAAATGGCCTTTTATATATCATAGTTCAGTTTAGCGTCGTTTCAGCGTTGTTTATATAGCAAACCTTATATTTTTTCCGATATCTTTCAGATAACCAACAGTACAAGAGTTTGCTCTGATCATTTTAAACCCACAGACAGATAAAAAAAAACGCTAACAGGAAAAAGTGTACTCGTTAATGGTGCTGTACCATCCGTTTTTGAATGGACAACTTTATCAAAGAAACGAAAGTCACCAACGAAACGCGAATGCACAACACGTACTAACACAACCGAGATTGATGTCGTGGATAATATACAGCCAATCTCCTCTACAGGTATTTATTTTTATGAAATCGTACTTTAGGCCCGCCCTAAATATTTCTAAACATGTTATTTTCTACATTCCCACAGTCGAAATTGGGCCCATCGAAGATTCAAGCGTAGACGAAAATGTCATCGATACTAGCAGCCACATGGAGGACTCCACCGTAACTACTGACACCACAATCATAACACCTACTGTCAACCTACATAATTATTTATTTACTGAACCGGAAAAGCCTGTAGAAGAGCTACTTGAGGCAGCGCAAGCTCGTATCGAACAATTAGAACAGCTGCTTTCAAAACAATCTTTTTACAGACAACTGAAAGGGATGTCAGACAAACGCGTTAGATTCCATACTGGCTTTTCGTCATTTGCTATTTTTGTGAGTACCTTCAATGCCCTTAGACCCACAGCTGAAAGTATGTTTTCATGGTCCCAAGTACAGAGAGCACGAGCAAAAAGTGGGAAAGATATAAGTAACATGAGAGACACTCTCAAGACATGCAAACTTAGCTTATTTGATCAGTTTTATTTATGCATTACTAAGCTGAGGCTGGGTACTTTTAATGAGAAACTAGCCAGTGAATTTGATATTTCTATTTCAACTGTGAGTAGAGTTTTTATTTCTTGGGTTAACTTTCTCTATTTTGTTTTGGGAACCATTCCTATATGGCCCTCTCGGGCAAAAATTGACAAACATATGCCTAAGTGTTTTAAATTGTTATATCCTAAATGCCGTGGTATTATTGATGCCTCAGAGATCAAGGTACAAGCACCATCTAGTATGGTTTTGAATAGCAATTGCTATTCATCATATAAGAGCCACACAACTTACAAAGGCAATGTTGTAATATCTCCATCTGGGGAAATTATTCATGTAAGTTCTCTTTTTGAAGGAAGTATTTTGACAAGGAGCTTGTTAAGCAATCAGGTTTGTTGAATTTACTTGAGCCAGGTGATCAAATAATGGCTGATAAAGGATTTACTATAGAGGATCTATTAAAGCCAATAGGTTGTGGAGTAGCAATGCCTGCCTTTTTTGTCAAGTAAGGGTCAATTTTCAAAGAAAGAACTTTCAACCAGTAAACAGATACATAATTTAAGAGTCCATGTGGAAAGGGCCATAAGAAGGGTGAAAGAGTTTCACTATTTTGATAAAGTTATACCTCTTACAGTAGCTGGCAGCATTAATCAAATATGGACAGTGGCATGTCTTATTACCAATTTCCAGGGGCCTTTGTTGCATGAAAAGCAATATATCTAAATATGTATACAATTGTTGTAAAATAGATGGAAGAGTAAGCATCATTTAAAGTAAAGTATGTAAGGATCTGTAATACAAATAGTACTAACAACTTTTAACAACTAAGAGTTAGTTGACATTGAGTGAGGGTACACTACGTATTAGGTCCAACCTAGGTAAGAACTATGCCATCTGTTAACATGTGATGTGGAAGGGTGAATAGTAGGGTGGCCCTATCCCCTAGGGGCACCCTTTTCGTATGTACATGGCATATTGGTTAGGCATTAAAATAAACAGTAAAATCAGTAAAAATTATATTGTTAGTACTATTTTTGTTTTACAGATTCAATGCAAGCTTTCAAACTAGCTTTTTGGAAAAAAAAATTATGAATTTAATAACTTTACATTTATTCACAAATTTCATTATTGCCAAATATTATAAAAATGCCCTTTTGGGGTTTAAATACAAAACCTGTTGAAGTCATTCATGTATTTTTATTTATCATGTTTGTACAGAATGTTCTGTTTAATAACAGTAAAAAACTATTAAATGGCTTGAAATACACCCAACTTAGTCACAGTATTTGAATGCATGATAAACAATGAAATATGTACAGCTGTTTGTAAAAATTATGGCGCTTACAATATTACAGACATATAGGCTTAAATGAAACTGAATTATCATAAGTATTGTATTTTTGGAAAAAATACAAAAACTATTAAATTACCAATCATGAACCCAATGTTTTTAAAGTTGTGGCAATAATTTCTGCAAACAGCTGTGTAATGATAATTACTAGAACAAGTTCTGAGTCTAATTAGGTTTGACTTGTTACATTTTAACATTTTAAGAATGCTGATTCAAATGTCTTTACTCCACTTCCCACCAAACTTTGTCACACACAATTAGCTTGTTACTTAGGCACGAAGTTATTTTGTATAAGAGACATACAATAAATTATTGAACACATGTATTCAGGTGATAATCAAAAAAAAAAAATAAATTCAGTTTGTCCAGCATTTCAGAAAAGAGAAGTTCATCAAAATATACTCGTTCACAGTGAAATTCGTCCTTGCAGTAAACAAAGAAATCGCACCACTGACTTCCTGTTAAACCAAGGCATCCCATAACTTGATAATAATACTTGTGTGTCTTCTTCAATGAATATGACCCATTTCGTTCATTAAACTTTAAATACTGAAGGTTATCCAGATGACTTGCTGGAGAGCACTTTATTTCTATCAGGCCCCATGGATGTTGTTCAGTGTCGTCAAACACTCTTCTGTCTGGGCTACAGCCTAGGTGTGGGAGACATGGGTTTATAAGAAAACCTACTAGGTGAGTGTCTCTGCCAAACTGTGTTTTGTACATATCAGCAGCTACCCCTCATTTTGTATCCCATATTTCATGGCTGCAGTTTGGATTACTTTTCCCTTTAGTAAACGCGTAGAAAGGATTTCATGGTCTTTTCTTCTTGAGCATATATCTTTGAAATTTGAAGCTGTAAGCCTAAACTTCCTTAGTTCATGCCATGCTGTTGTAGTTGACTGTTCCCTTGTCTCCATTTCAAAGTCAATAGACTGTTGACCTGATATTGCAAGGGAGCTGAAGAAAAGGTCTTGTTTTTCATTGAGCACTGTATCTGGATAGCTTAAAGATGGAAAGTTGAATGCAGGTAGCTGTATGTTAATATTGCTCTTAACTTTCAATGGCTGTTGATAGCTTATGACACAGCCTTTTGGCACCTTTCCAAAGGCCGAGTCTACTAAAATTGGAGGCTCACTTTGTTCATCTTCCCATATTCTCATAAATCCAGGTTGATTGTTGAGATTTTCAAACTGTGGCGACAGCACACTAGTCAAGTCAAGGCTACTTAATGATTGCTGGAAGGGTTTGTAGATCGTGCTTGCCACACCACACACCTTTTCTTCTTTTTTAGGTTCATGCAATTTATCTTTTGGCTTTGACTTTTGTATAATCAAATCTGTCACTGGCCTTGCTTTAATGCCCTCTTTACGACTGGGGATATGCCATCTCTGCAAAAAAAAAATAATATACAAATATACTATATGAATTCAAAATTGCTTATTGTGTTATGTTTAAAAACAGCAGTGTGATTAAAAGGAGTTTTTAAGGAAAAATATTGGTAAGATACAGTCAAATCTCTATACATTAATGACTGTTTTTTCTTATTGTTTATCATCAAATCTATTATTATTATTATTAAATTTTACCTGTGCCTTTGATGTTTTAGAAACCATTGGCGGGACACTTTTTAAGCCTAATAGCTGGAAATGGGCAAGAGTATAGAGCAATCCAAGAACATGATGGCAAAGACCTTGTCCAGCAGCACAACTACACATATACTTGTTGATGCTAGCCTCAATAGAGGAGCTCTCGAACACAACAGACAACTTGTGAGGATCTTCGTTCTTTTTCATACTTCTGAAGCATTTAGCCCGAGCCACTACTCCTGAATCCTCTTCCTTGCAAAGTTTTACTGTTAAAAACCGAGAAAAGAGTTAAAACTCAAAACACTGAGCACAGAAACAAAATATTGGAAAGACAGTCAAACAAAGAAAGCTACCACGAGGTCAACGAGGCTCACCTTCAATATCGTGAATATATTCTTCGTGAAAGAATTTATATCCTCTTGTTACAGTGGCTTTGATCGGTAGGTTCTTCTCAGCAAAATCCTCAACAAAAGAGTTTGTAACTTTGGGTATTTTTGTTATATTTTTGTGCCAAAATTCGAGTTCAACGCTATCGCTACTAGTCGCCATTTTGTTTGTGAACTTACCACGCGTGGCCTCGACCTCATGTACAATATTCAATGACGTAATCCAAGATGGCGGGCCGTGACAAAGGCGAATAGAAGCGTGGTCCACCACGACAACTTCGTTGATCCCCTGACTGGAGTCCACACTTAGGAGGCAGAGTCAGTTTGGGCATGGCTAAAATACCACATAAAGAGAGAAAAGGGAGTTAGAAGAGAGGACATCCCCGCTTTCCTCCATCAGCAGATGTGGCTAGATTGGAGAGGAGGAGCAGACGTGTTCTGCAGTCTTAGAGTTTTAATAGCTAAATATCATCCACTTGTAAAAGAACGTGCCTTTGCGTGTGCCAATGATGGTAAACATTGCGCTAATTTTGTCTTTTTCTCTTTCAAAGTTCTATTTTGTAACCCGTCAGATACTATATTGGTTTGTAAACTTGCGGAGACGATAATTTTCCTCTCTAACATTATTAAACACAAATCGCTTCTCCAAATTCGGGTGTGACGATTTATTGTACCAACCAATTACCTCATATCTCTACGTTTCAGAGAGCGAGTTTCAGAAATGAATCTCTATATGTCAAAAATGTAATGTCACTTGAAACTTTGAAGAAAAAACATACGATGGACCAAGTACAAATGACTGGTATAATGTGTGGGTCAGCGAAGTCGCTTTGAGTTTCTTGTAACAAACAAAAGGGAGACTTCTCAGAAACTTGCAAAGAAAAAAGTTATGACAGCCTGTTGTGAAGTATGCGAGCTTTTTGGACTTTAATTTCAAGGAAATATATTTGAAAGTTCGACAGCTCTCTTCCATCAAAAAGTGACTTTTTTAAAAATTGCGAAACAATTTTGAGCTACACATATTGAAAAAAAAAAAAAAAAAAAAAAATGTTTCAGGACCGAAGATTCAATTTCGCAAAATCTTTTGTTGCCTTAAATGCTCCCTCGGCATGCTCCTAGTCCTTTACTAGAACGCCTCTCAAGCGAGCGCTCCTTTCGACATGGATGAGTTTGATAGACTCATAAACTCTTTCGTGAAAAGCTTATTGTCTTAGGGTATAGAGGCGAAACGTTTTAAAAGAAAACTTATTTTAAAGTTACATTCGCAATGAAACAACAACAGCATACTCAAGCACGTTGCCTGAACAACGTTATTTCCGTTGAGTCGACCTCAGCGATATTTCAAAGGAATTTTTACGTGAAATTAGGCAGGTACCGCGACCTTTCCCATACATGGTTGTTCCAGGAGGTTGTTCCTTGTACGCAATTAAACTTAACCTATGTGTTTAATTTTTTCATGTTACATTTTCTATTCTATTTTTCAATTTTACGTTACTTGTCCGTTGGGTCGATGGCCAAGGTCTCTGACCAGTGTGGCCATTCCCTATGAGGTCACTGAGCCGCAACAACTCGACACGGACTTGTTTAAAGTTCTGCCTGCTTTTTTCTTTTCTCTTTCATTTTTTTGTTTTTGTTTGTTTGTTTGTTTTGTGATACGCGAAGAAATAATTGTAACCTAATGCAAGTATTAGATCTTTCCCTATCTCTCTTCTGTGTATCATTGGCATGACTAACGATGTCGCTCGTGGTTGAATTCACCATCCAATCAAAGTGTTCAAAAAAGAGGCGCGAAACGCCCTCTTCACGAATATGCAGGCGGCAAGTAGGGCCAATAAGCTGAGAGCGATCAGTGGCGATCTTGTAGAAGAATGAAATGTGAACATAAAATCTGTCACTTAAAATGTTGAAACAAAAAAGTCAGTGTTAGCAATCGTTTCTCACATCTATATTTTTTCTCCATATTAAAACAAATTATTCCCTTCTTTTCCAATGGCTTCCCCTTCGACAAAGTTGTGCATGAGTAAAAGTGGCGACCTTAAATTCAACGTGCACAAGCAAAGGTAATCATGGAATACCATGAAAAAGAAATTGTCGTGATCTTGAACAAAATTCTCACAGTTAGGAATAATAGGGAAAAAAACAGGCCCCCAAGGGTCCGGATCTAGCGAAATGTTGTGAGGACATTCACCGAGGGTTGGCCGACTTTCACACATTGGGTGTTAGTACTCATGTGGTCTTTAAGTCGCGATCGCTATCTTTTTTCTAACAAAAATGCCTTCATTCGTACTAAAATGCCCTATTTATTAAACCATTTCCGGTGTTTTGATTAGGCATCAATGGAAAGGAGGCATAATTTGTGTAAAACAAAGGGAATTCTTTTCGGGACGAGACAAAGGCTGGAAGCCGTCGCAAACTTTTACATCACCATAAGTGGTACCAATGTCGAGATGGTCAGTAAATTCACATACTTGGGCGTTACCCTCGATGAGGATCTGAAATGGAAAGTACACGCTGAAGATGTTCACAAGAAAGTATCCAAGTGACTCGGTCTCCTCAGACGAATACGCTCCACTCTTACTTTACAAGCAGCACAAGCGGTATACAAATGCATTATTGAACCAATTTTTAGTTACGCAGACACAGCCTGGGGTGAACTACCCGAGAGCAGCATCACTAGTCTGCAACGATTACAAAATCGAGCCGCGAAAATCGTCACCTGTCAGAAAAGTACAAGGACAGCCCGAAATATTGTAAATTGGCCAGATTTAGAAACACTGCGAAAAATACACAAATGTATTTTAGTATATAAATGTTTACGGAATTTCGTTCCTATATACTTAAAAAAACTATTTTAAGGTAAACAATGATGTACACAATTACAACACTAGGCAGAGGAGAAATATTCACCCAAATAAAACAAATCTTGTTCTTGGGGGGCGAACTTTTAAAAATTCAGGGCGTTTAGCTTTTAACTCACTGCCAAGCAGAATCAAAGAGGCAAGTTCTCTAACAATTTTTAAACGCCTTCTTAAAGGACATTTTATCTGATTTTTTTTTTTTTTTTCTTTTCTCCCCTTTTTGTAAATTTTAGCAAATTTTACCTAACCTTGTAATCTTATTGTAAATGTTTATATGTAATTTTTATTGAACCCAGGGCCCCTAAGGATACCAGCCTTGCAGCTGACTGGGCTACCCTGGTAAAATAAAGTTGTCTTGTCTTGTCTTGTCTTGTTCATGTTAAGTTAATTTATACAGTTTAGTTTACATCAGGGATCCGGCATGTTTTTGCGCGCTCTTCGCTTGTTGATGTACACTCAACTTACAAGATTAAAACGTTGTGTTTGAGTGCTCTGGTGTTCCGTCATCCGTCTTAGTGAATACGTTACATGGTGTCAGAAGTGAAAACTAGTTTCTGCAATTGGTGCTGTCAAGGGATTATCGCTCAGCGAACCGGAAAGTGTTCTGGAGAGAGATTTGTTCGCATGCACGTGGTCGACCAACTCTGATCTGCAAACTGATACTGCCGTTTGGCGCTCGCCATTCATAACCTTCTTCACAACGAATAGCGGAAGACAACGGTGACTGGAATCGTTTTGTGTTTTCGAAAGGAAATCTCTGCTGAAGGAATCTAGCTAACTTCAAATTACTCAGTATGCCACCGAAACCCGAAGATAGCGGCGCGTCTGTGCAAGTACAAGAAGCCGTCGCACAACCAAATCTGGTACAAATCCCGATAAACATCCCATTGCCCTCAAAGTTAGAGCTCACAGGAAACTTGGCGACGAACTGGAAGAAATTCCACCGTGATTGGAACAACTACGAAATAGCTGCACGTCTAAAAGACCCTAAACACCCTGCTGTAAATAAATCACTGAGAACTGCCACACTGCTAACCTGTATTGGCTCAGATGCTCTAGATGTGTACGAAGGCTTAGAATTCGAGACTGAAGACGATAAGAAGGACATTGATATTGTTCTCCAAAAGCTACAGCGTTATTGTATCGGAGAGACAAACGAAATCTACGAGAGATACCGATTTAACAAGAGAGACCAAGAACCAAATGAGTCTCTGGATGCTTACGTCACGGCCTTGCGCACGTTGGCGAAGACGTGTAACTTCGGAGTGTTAGAGAACAGTCTAATTAGAGACAGGATTGTCATCGGAGTAAGAGACAATCAAGCTCGCAAGAAGCTCCTACAAGTCTCCAAACTCACATTGAAGGAATACATTGATATCTGTAGATCCTATGAGACCTCAAGCCAACAACTGACAGAAATTAATCAGGAGGAAGTCAGCGCCATTAGTCAGTCTCATGAAAAGAAACCTAGAGAAATTCGCTGCAAGTTCTGCGCCAAAACGCATGTATGGAACAAGCTTAAATGTCCTGCATGGGGGAAAACTTGCTCTAATTGTGGCATTCCAAACCACTTTGCGGTGGCCTGCAAAAACAAACCACCTCCACCCAGTTCGGCCACATCCTCTATACCTCCCACACCGAGACACGTCCGCAAGCCAGTACATGCAGTAGAGGATTCTGACTTTGACGAATATGTCGCCTGTGTTGATGTCAAGGAGCACGTCTGTGCGTTGGACAATCCTGATCGTAAAGACAAACTGCTTGCGGTAATGCTATTAAATGGTCAGAGTCCCATTCCAACTGGACACTGGTGCAACAGTGAACATCTTACCTGAAGAGTCTTTCAAAGAAGTTTATGGTGAAGGCAGCCTATCCCTGCTGGACAATGCGGACGTAACTCTTGTTATGTACAACAAAACTGAGGAGAAGCTGATTGGCAAGAAACGTGTCCAAGTTGTGAATCTCAGAAATGGAAGAAAATACAGTGTGGAATTTGTAGTTGTAAAAGGAAAAGGCAATCCTCTGCTTGGCTAACGAGCCAGTGAGCAAATGCAACTCATCTCTGTGGTCCGACAAAACATCATGTCTATTCAGTCTGAAGAGCCTTTGCAGAGCAAAACACCACTTACAGCAGAATCTATCCTCAAAGAACAAGCTGATGTATTCAGGGGAGAAGGAAAGTTAGAAGGTGATCTCCACCTTGAAATTGACCTGAACGTACCACCAGTTCAACTCCCAACAAGAAAGGTGCCAATCGCCATTAAAGAAAAGCTAAAAGAGGAACTGGATCGTTTGGAAGGCCTTA